GAAAGAGGTCCATGGCAGGAAAACTTCCCTGCTGGCAGTGGCCAGGTTAAATGTAGCAGGTCCTCCAAGCCCTTTGATGAAGCAAGACGTGGTGGGGAAGGGATAAGGTGCTGTCACTGCTCCCTTCGTTCAGTTGGGGTGTACCCACTTGCTCCACGAGTGTGCATGATGCAAAAGCAGCCATTAATGACAGAGAAAAAGCCGAGAGCAGTGTGAGAACCTGTGTGCAGGAGGTGTGGATGAAGTGGTCTGTGCCGAGCAGCAATTTTGTTCCCCCTGTTACTCAGTGGGTACCCTGAGCTGACTTACTTGCTCATCACTGAACGTGGTCTCACTGAGCATAAATGGGAGACCTCTGCTGAACCCAGACCGACTAAAGCCAGACAGAAAAGAAACCAGAGTACTGGCTGCCAAGGGAGGTGCTAAATGTGGATCCAGTTCTCAAACCTGGATAGCAGCTGAGTCCATATTTAAACACTTAATTAGCCACAGCAGGCTCCGGTTTGAAATTTGGCTTCTTGTTACTTTTTACAAATACATTTGCCCTAGCCTGCTAGGGAGACTGCTGCTGGAGACAGCACCGTGGAGATGAGTGGTAAAATCAGCTTCTGGTGAAAAAAGAAACAGAAGTTAATAAAATAAAAAAAATTAGCAAACACACAAGGCACTCACTCACTCCAGAATTGAATACTTGCTTATTTTATTTCAGCAAAAATAGAAAAGAATCCCTTTCTCTTCTTCTCACTAATTTTGGCAAACTTGTCAGTCTATGCTGCAAAAAATCTTAAGCCAAAAATAGGAATTTTTGGTAAAAATTAATTGAACAGAAAATGCATAGCCTGCTTATCCTGATTGTTTATTCATCAGTATAAAATCAATAAAGCATTATTTAAAAGGAAGGATAAGGTCTTGTATATTGCTGCTCTCTTGGCCAGATTTCAAAGCAGATAATTAAATTCTGTCTGCCTTAAATCTTCCTGTAGTTTTCATTTCGTGAGTTGTACGTTGCCCTATTTTATCAGCACCGACTCGGCAAAATGCTATGGAAGGTCATCGCCCAGGGGAGACCGCCTTTTATGGTAGGAAGAGTGGTCTACAGAGAGCCCCACTCAAATGAGTGGGGGGTGAGCATGAACTTCTCCAAGCTACCAGTGGCAGGCACACTGCTCCTACCCACTGGACTTCTTCCCACCAAGTCCTTGCTCCGCTTTTCCTAACTGCTGGCCGTGCACAGGCTTGCCATGCCACGGCACGTGATGTCTGGTGTAGCTCAGGCCAGGTGGGCACCGTTAGGATGGATTCCTGGGCAGTAAACCACCAGTACCTCCTTGCTCCCTAGCCGACTGCCCAGTGTGCGTGCATGCCACCGGGGCCTACCAGTCTTTTGCCTGGCTGGACACCTAGTCAGGAGGTAGAGTTTCACTGCTTGAGAGTCTTCCTGCCTTGCTCCGAGGCACTGATACCCTGTGTCCTCAGGGGTCCAGGCGTCACAGGTACCTTGCATGCACTGGTGTGCCAGCACTGTTTTGCTGCTAAGCTGTGTTCTGCTTCAGGCTGGTTGGCCTCAAGCATGCACTTTCATTTCAGAAAGCTTTTAGAGCCTTCAGAAAATGAAAGCAATGTGGAAATGCATAATGTCAATATTATTTTATTTAGTATACAATTATACTTTCGTTCAGTGTAGAAAATGTCCATACAGAGCATAGAGCGCCAAGAGAGGCTAGATTTAAATGTACAGGCTTTCAAGCCAGGTAATTCCATGTGTAAAAGGAATATATTTTATGGTTTTGAACTGAAAGAGGGTAGATTTAGGTTAGAAATAAGGAAGGATCATTTTATGATGAGGGTGGTGAGACACTGGAACAGGTTGCCCAAAGAAGTTGTGGATGGGCATCAGTGAAAGTGTTCAAGGTCAGGTTGGACGGGGCTTTGAGCAACCTGATGTAATGAAAGATGTCGCTGCCTATGACAGTAGGGTTGGACTAGATGATCTTTAAAGGTCCCTTCCAGCCCAACCATCCTGTGATTCTACATGTATGTGCGTGGGAGATGCAGTCATGATATAGGTACAGGAGCCTACGTGCTTCTATTTTTCTGATGCATGAAGTCAAGACTGGATGGAATGAAAACAAGTAACCAGTGTTGATTTTTTTTCCCACGTGGCATTTAAATAACATGATTCTAATAAGATGGGGTCTTACAAACAAAACAGTTGCTCAACGCAAATCCTTGTCAGTTTTGTGTCACAGGTTATTCCTCTTTCTTATGTAGTCGACTGCTATCAGATTCCTGGAAAGCAAAAAGCACACTAAGAAAAAAATAGGAAGAGGTCAGGTAATCATTGCAGGGATTCTGCCAAAAGTGTCTGCTCTGTGTCTCCAACTTTATATCCTTCGTATCTATAGTATGTTATTGAAGTCTGATTCCCCGCTGCCTTGCAAATCATTTGCATCTCTGCACTGTGATATAAAAGGCTCCCTCTCTGATTGGAGAGCTTTTTATATCTTCTCAGCACTCGTGTTTCTCTGGCATAGATATCTATGCAAAGTACGAGGCTTTTGACGATCCGGCCCTTGTAGTTCATGCTTCATTGCCACAAGGTAAGTCAAAACAGCACTCGGACAAAATGTGGGAATGGGAAGTCACGGGGAGCATCCACCGACCTCCTGCCTGGCATCTGAAGGTTAGTGAAGGCCAGACTAGACCCAGGCAGAACAAGTCAGAGTAGTCCCCAGCCCTGCTTCCTTGCAAGCCGCTTGCCAGACGAGATCACTCTAATTCAACTCAGGAAGCTTGTCCCGTGCCCCAGCTTGCGTTCTCCATCAGTGGGGGAATGGTGACACTGGTGGAGAAGTGCCAGGGTTGGCTGCCAGCTGGCTGCCGGAGGCGGCTTGGGATGAGTGCTTCTTCCCATGGGTGGTGTGGGCTCTGCCCCGCACGGCTGCGCAAGGGAAGCTCCTAGCAGCTGAGGATCTGGTCCTTCAAGTTAAAAGGATTGAAATATGCATGAAGCATAAGGTGACATTTTGAGTGTCTCAGATCAGAGCACGGACGTTGCTGAATTTAAAATGTAACTGCAATTTCCTGACTAATGCCAAGTCACTTCTATATTCATGCAGTGATTGTTCTTTATTCTTAAAATAGCCCATTTTGCCCCGAGGCGCAGGTGATATCTTTATGATGATGGAGCTACGTTATCCTGCATGTTACAGTGCAGGCCACTGGTTGGTGCAAGGGCTGTTTATGATCAGCTCTCCTTTTTTATTCTCTCTCAATTTATATAATGCTTTTGTAGCCTGTTTGTTTGTGCTTTGCTTGAATAAGAATAGAGCAGGGAAAAAATAGAAGATAAAAAAAAAAAAGAGATACACTGGAGATTCAGTGTTGTCTTTTACTTCCTGAAGCCATTTACCATCGTGTCTCCAACTTTCTGAGTCCATTCAGATAACACAAACGGTTAAGTTGCTTCAATAGCCTTATACCTCTGCAGAGAGGGAGCCTGTTTGCTAGCATCCAGGGCTTTCTGTGGTGAAGTGTACAGGATATTATAAAGAAGGCATTCAACCAGAATGAGATAACAAAAAGAACTCTGGGATGTGTTTGCTATTCATTCAAAATAAAAACCTTGCACGCAGCAGCAACCACAGAAAACCGACGGCAGGCTTTTCAGCAGTGCAGGAACATCTCCAGCCCAGGCGTTTGCTGCACTAAAGGTGAAGGTGTAGAGGATGGAGCTGTAGCTGTGGCTGTCACAGAGGCAGGACAACAAGCAGGGGGAAGGAGAGACCTGGGGAAGAGAGATCTGCTCCTGGGTGGGTGCCCTTCTATCTCCCACAGCAGCAAGCAGCGCCGCTTCCCCAGGCTCTGGCGGAGGGAAAGGGGATGGGGGACCAAAGCTGTTCTGCCTCACGCAGGAGCCTGTTGCTTTAGGCACCCACCTGCTTTGCCTATGAGCTGTCTGAAATGCCAGGAATTACCCTTGGTTCTGCTAAGCACAAAAATGGTTAGATGAGAAGCTGCAGTAATTACAAGAGTGAATTGTCATGGCATAGGAATTTGTGGAAGTGATGCTGAGGCCCCAGTCAGGAGGAGCATTCTAAGTGACATGCCTGCTCATTTGACTGGAACTAGCCTGCTTATTTAAAAAAAAAAACAACCCAACAAAGAAAACAGAAACCAAACCGTTGCCTTCATGCAGTGAAACCCAGCTACTCAGCATTTCCTAGAAAGTTTGACTTGAAAGAAAGGCAGCTTCAGCAACCAGATGAGAGAGGTGCACAGAAGTCTCAACAGGTAATGTTTTGCTCTAACTCTCAGCATTTGTGTGCCTCTGTCGCACCTCCCGTTTGGCACAGATCCAGACATCCATCTTTGCTCTAAAGGCTGTGTATGGCGTAACTGTGGTTACACTTGCAGCTGCTCTCCTTGCCCCATCGTTTTATCCATCTCTATAGCTGTGCATAATCTGGTGTGTCACTGGGGCAGGTGCAGGTATTGCCTTACTCATTGGTACTGTGCCCAACGCAGAAGCCTTCATCAGAAATTAGTAGGTCCTGCTGCAATACAAATAATAACAACCAGGAGTATTATGATCAGGCACGGATTTACTGGGTGGGAACAGGGTATGTGTGTGTGGGAAAAGGGCAGTGAGGAAGGGGAGAGTAGTTCAAGGGCTCTAGGTGATGATATCCTGGAGACTGGTGCCTCAGCATTTCTAGTTCAAACAGTTTAACAGAGAAATTCTGGCAGGTACCGCGTGATTTTATTTTACTTCTTTTTTTTCCTGCTATAAATCAGACTTGGTGTCTAATGGAATAATCACCAGAACCTCAGGAAACAACACGCCTGCCAGTGATAAGCTGTTTCTTGTGCCGACTCAACGTATAGCTGTTTGCTTGCTGGATATTGCAAAATGCAGTACATTTGATGTTTGTGCAATTCTGTTTTCCTTCTGATTATTTTTATGTGCATCTCCCTCTCTCTTTCTCTCCTGCATACAGATGTTCGTATTCACCCCATGGAGCCTATGCCCAAAGCAAACTTGCCCTTGTGTTATTTACCTATCGACTACAGCATCTTCTGACTGCAAATGGAAGCCATGTGACTGCTAATGTAGTAGACCCGGGAGTAGTGAATACTGAGCTCTACAAACATGTCTTTTGGGTTATAAAAGTGGTCAAATGGATGACAGCCTGGCTATTTTTCAAGGTATGCAGTTTTTAAAATCATATTGTTGCCGTGCCCCTGCAATTGTGAGAGCTGTGGCCAGCATGGAGCTGGAGGTGTTTCCGAGTTTATCAGAATGTATGGTATTTATTGCATTTCTCTGTGCTGATGAGATGTATAAAAATGATAAAGACAGGCCTTCTCCAGAACAAACATTTATTTTAAATGGAGGGAGCGAGCTCTCCCAGTAAGGAAAGGGAATGTCTTTCACTGGCTGTGCCCATGCACTGATTATCTCTGCCTTGATCTATCCGTGTGCCTTGGTGCCTAACATCATCCTAACACAAAGCCAGAATATGCAAAGTGTTCCTCAGAAACGTCTTGTGTGTCCTCTTAATGAGAAGCAGACATGACTTGTCACGGTCTACACATACGCAACATGTTGTAGAGAAGAGGGCAAAGGGAAGAAGGAAGATGTACAAAAATGGTGGTGGGAAGTGGCCATACTCCACCCCGTGCTGTGCAGGTCCAGGTGCTAGTGCTCTGGGAGGTGGAACAATTTTCATTTAGGTTTTTCATCCTTACACATACTTGTAATGGTACCTGATTTTCTATTATCTGCTCCTGGTCTGCATTAGGCAACTTAAAGCTGTTTGATAAAACTGATCCAGAAGTGGGGCAGACCCAGTTAGGGTTAACTTCAGGAATGTTTTGTAGTGGTGTAAGTAGATCAATCTGGAATCAGTTTAGCTGCGTAGGTGCAATCTCCTCATGCAGACAAGCCTTATGAGGACTTGTGCTGAGAAAAGGTACAGCTTATAACTCTTTCAGAAAGTAGTTTTGGATTAAGTGAATGGAACCTGATTCCATTAGAGAAAATTAAATGTCCTAATTAAAATGAAGTATTTTAGATCAAGGGGAATGTCCCACAAAGCAAATTAATTTTAAACTTTGATATGGAAATATCACTAGCTTTAATTTTAGAAATGAAACTGGAGGCTGGAAGAGTGGCTGTAAAATAAGATGCAAACAAATAAACCCATATTTAAAAAAATTAATAGTATCTTCTGAGTACACCTTGAATATTGCAATAAAATTGTAATAGGAATGTTCATAATATGTAATGCATTCTTAAAGAAGCAGAATGCAGCTTTGCCAGAATGTATATATTAAACCTGTTTTGCCTCTTCTGATTGCCATTTTAAATATCAGTCTCAGATCATCATGTTTTTTCATTGGACTTACTTCACCTTGCTAACATAACAGTTTCATGGAGATGTTTAGGTTGTGCTCAGGATTTCCTCTAGAGCCGCAAAATTCTGACAGAATTTCTGTGTCTGAGGGTGAGAATTGAGTCTCTTGTTGTTTACACCACTCAATCCCATTCAGTTTTATTGCAGTGTCCAGGGAGACATTTTTTATATTATACTGACCATGTTCAGACACTAAATGGGATGTCACTGAAGACACATAAAATGAGTTTGGATTTATCACAAAAGAGAGTCTCATACTAACAGCTCTAATAGTAACGTTGCCCAAAATTCCTCGTCTCTAAAAGGATTTTGCCTTGTAACAGGTGATGGACAGACATACTGACTTGCATGGAAGCACAATGTGTGCGCTGCCTGAAAAGCAAATGCATCAATTGTTTATTGAATTAGAGTTCCTTCAGGTTTGGATAACTGAATGCTTCAACGATTTACATGTTTTTATATAACACTCAATGTGTTTTTCCTATAAACCAAAGGAGAGGGAAACTTTTACCATCACTCTTCATGTCCTCCTTTAGACTTCTGAGTTACAGCTCCAACTTCTACTCTTTGCATATTGCATAAGATACGTTTATATGTTCAGGATTGACTTTGCCTTCCTTTCTCACATTCAGGAGCACTTCATCACATAGGTGCAGCCAGTTCAGCTCTGGCAGAACTGCATCACCATCACAAGGTGATATTTAGCTCCACGGCAAGCTCCCATTGAAAGCCTGCCTGGGGGTTTCAGTAACACTGTACTGGGTGCCGTAGTATCCAGCATTCAAGCCTGTGTGGGTCTTGTGTTGGTCTCTTGCACTAGGGGAATTTTCTCCTGAGAAAAGTAAGAAAGCAAGTGCAAGAAAATTCAGTTGTCTGATAATATTAGCTGATAGCTGATATGGATTTCTTCTCCCCCAGAATTTCATTCCTGAGTGCATGTATATGAATCTTCCTGCTAGGATTATGGCAGTAATGCAGTGAAAATGAGGTGATAGCTCTGTAGTCATATTGGCTCAACTAACTTTTATCACCCTGAAGTATTCTGAAGGGGTTTCTAAATGTGTGCAGGAAGTTGCTTCACCCGCTGCAACCAGGAGCTCATGAGAGCCAGCACAGCCCAGATAGCTCGGGTGAGGAAATACATCACAGATTAATCACATCACATTCCCTCAGGAGAGAGGCAACATGTTGTTTGATTTAATTCCAAAATATTGTGGCAGAGCCTCCACTGCCTTTAAATGCGTTTCCACCGACACTGGTCCCAGTTGCATTCAAGTCAAATGCCTCCAAGGGATTGCAGCTTGGCCCCCACTCTCAATGGGCTGCTTGAGTTTGAGGTGTCTTAGCGTGGCAGACAAGGCTGTCGGATCAACATCCGCCTCAGAGCTGCCTCAAGATATTTAGGTACTTAACCAAATAAACCTACAATCTCATAAATACGCCATAATATGTACATATAATTTACTCAAAGTATTAACAACTTGAATTTCTCAGACTGTGAAACATTGTCTTCTGGTCTTCATACGTAGCTCAGAAAAATCTCTGCCAAATCAGTTTGGTTTTTTTTACCTCAACCCTGTAGAAATAAGATAGGCCAAGCTAAAGGATCCAGTGACAGTCATAAAAACTGTGAAACGAATTCTCTTTAGAAGTCATAGTTTCATTCTTTCTCAGCTTGATTCTTTCTCAGGGAAGTTATTGTCTGCTGTAATAGTTGTTCCTTAAATTTTGGTTTTGCAAATGTTTTCTTTACGTTTTTAATAAACAGGGATTGCACCTGTCACACACAAGAGAGAAATTATGTTTGTTCCTCAAAAAATAAATTGATTTCTACCCCTATGACTTCTCAGTAAATAAAAGCTGACGAGCTGTCATAGTCCTCTGCAGAGTGTGGTGAAATATGCTATCCCTCAGGAATTTTTAACATAAAGTGATCTTTTTAAAGAGAAAAAGTCCAAACCAGTAAACAATAACTAATTAATAAGATAATAATAGCCTAAAAAGACATTCATCGGGCATCAATTTGCAATTTAGCCAACTGTGCAATACACTAGTTTTAGTAATGGGTACTGTCCAAGCTGAAAACCAGGAAGGTATCATTTCCCTCTGAAGTATATCTACTTCTGCCACAGATACTGAATATTCATTCTTAACCCAGATGGCCTCTGCTCATGATACAACTAAAATGCCTTAGAGCAAAAAAAAATTATGACTTTCATTAATGTCCAAATGCAGGGACTGTTTGGCTTCGTACAACTTCATTATGACATCGAAGTAGAGACATTCCCTGCATAACAGTGTTGTAAACTTCCCCAAAACCTTCTTTATGACAAGCTTGGTGAACATGTTATTATCAGATATAGACTATTGGATCCTTTCAGCTGCCTCAGATTAGTATTTAGGAAGCCATCGTGGAAGGAAGACTGTGCATCAGATCTTGTCTCAGCTGTCATTTCCAAAGGCATAATGCCACGTAAATGATTATTGACTGACAAACTGAAAATAAGTAGGATTAGTGACCCCAATACCCTGTAGAAGTGAAGGGAAAGGCTTCAGAAACACAGGCTAGAAAGCAGCCAATATAAAGTAGTTCATTTCTTTCGTCTGTCAAAATAGGCTTAACTTCAGTGTAATTTTCCTATGATATTTTTAAAGAAATGCTTCCAGTCTGTAAGCACTACTAGAAAACAAGATCTAAAGAACCTGGATTCATCGTACATGCCAGAGGACATAGTCATGCAGGTCTTATTGCAGCTTTTCTTATTCAAACTGTCCCTTTGGCACTGTGAATGTAGAAAATTCATTTTATCCTCCCTGCCGAGGTGTCAGAAGACAAACACATCACCACACAATAACGCCAGCTGTACAGAACAAGAATAATTAAATCCTACAGCTGAAAGCAACAATTCATCAGCATCAACATCTTTGGTCCATGTGAGTGTGTGATCCTCACATAAAGCTACTCTGGAATTTTATCACAAAATGAAAACTCCTTACAGAAACATGTCATTTGTCAAAAGCCTTTTCAGATCAAAAGTAGGATTCTGGTCAAAATCAGAGAGAAGGAAACTTTATTCCAGTAACTCTGGTTGTTAAACAGGTCCCATTTTTGTACACACTGGTACAGGAATTTAAGCTTCAGAGGCACGGGACTTCTTTTCTTCCATCTATAACCATATATAGAATCATAGAATCATAGAATCATAGAATCATAGAATCATAGAATCATAGAATCATAGAATCATAGAATCATAGAATCATAGAATCATAGAATCATAGAATCATAGAATCATAGAATCATAGAATCATAGAATCATAGAATCATAGAATCATAGAATCATAGAATCATAGAATCATAGAATCATAGAATCATAGAATCATAGAATCATAGAATCATAGAATCATAGAATCATTCAGGTTGGAAGAGACCCTTGGGATCATCGAGTCCAACCATCTACCCTCCTCTACAAAGTTCTCCCCTACACCATGTCCCTCAGTGCCGCATCTAAACGTCCCTTAAACACATCCATATAAATATTTGGTTATTCATACAGCCATAAAATGATTCTAGGAGGAAAAATAGAGGGAAAAGGATAATAAACATTCTACCTTTGAGCTACCACATCCTGGTGATCTGAGCATTTTTCTTCACGTGAATCCCTGGTCTCCGATGGGCACATGGCTATTGCCTGTTACGGGGGTATGCAGATGCAACTTGGCTGCTTTGTTTATTCTAACTTCTAAATAAAAAGGCTTAAGAGCATGGAGAGTTTTGAATCTGTCCTAATT